CCGCCCCGAGATAGAGGGCTTTCTGATGGTCTTCGAGACCATCTCTCATGTATCTAAGGGTGGCCTCGAACTCTTAATAAAAGAAATGTAGGATTTAATGTATGAGTTTGCCTCCATGCATGGACGCGATCAGGAAGGCCATAACAGGGCACTGATGGGATCCCCTGCAACTGGAATTACAGACGATTGTGAGCGACCATGTGGGTGCTGGAAACCGAACCTAAATTCTCTCCAAGAGCAAGGGGTCTAAAACTACTGAGCCATCTCTCCAGCCCCTGGCCTTGAGTTCTTATGTAGCTGAGGTTGACCTTGAACTTCTGGTACCCTCTTGCCTCTATAGTTTCCCAGTGTTTCTGGAACCTGGCGTCCATATGTACTTTATGGTTTTTGTTTGTTTGTTTTAACCCCTGTCTGGAGTTGAAAATGAACACACCTTTCTTACTGAAGTATCAGTAAACAAATTTTTGTCAAAATTTACTTCAACACATTGGGTAGTAGCCTCAAGTCTTACTAGGGTCAGTGTCTCCTTTAGTAGTTCAACAGTGACTGACAGGAGTTATTTAGGAGTAGGCTCCCTAACTCTTGAGGGAGGGTCCTTTTTCATTCATTCTTTCTTTTCTTTCTTTTTTTTTGGGGGGGGGCGGGTTTCAAGATAGGGTTTCTCTGTGGCTTTGGCTTTTTTTTTTTTAAGATTTCTTTGTTTAAATTGTGTGTGTGTGTGTGTGTGTGTGTGTGTGTGTGTGTGTGTGTGTGTGTGTGTTCTACACCCCCCCCCACGTCTGCAGGCCAGAAGAGGGCACCAGATCTCATAAAGGATGGTTGTGAGCCACCATGTGGTTGCTGGAAATTGAACTCAGGACCTCTGGAAGAGCAGACAGTGCTCTTAACCTCTGAGCCATCTCTCCAGTCCCCTCCCTCCCTCCCTCCCTCCCCCACCCAGCTGTGAGTTACTGTGTGTCTGTATTGCTTGATGTCTAATATGAATTTATGAGTGAGTACATATTTGTCTTTCTGGGTCTAGGTTACCTCACTCAGGATGTTTTTTCTAGTTCTGTCCATTTGCCTGCAAATTTCAAGATTTCATTGTTTTTTTTTCCCCCACTGAGTAGTACTCCATTGTGTAAATGTACTACATTTTCTTTATCCATTCTTCAGTTGAGGGGCATCTAGGTTGCTTCCAGGTTCTGGTTATTACAAATAAGGAAGTAGTCAGTGCTTTTTAACTGCTGAACCATCTCTCCAGCTCCTGGGTTTTCTTATTGGGAAAATGAAAAACCAAACAAACCCAGCCAACCCAAACATTGATTCTAGCTTGGAAAACTTGAGTTGGTGTATGTATTTCATTTTTTGAGTCTTCTATTAATGATCTGATCACAGTGGGGTCTTGCACTTGCTAGGTAAGCACTCTACCACTGAGCTAAAGCCCCAACCCAAAAGATACTTTTATGTGTGTGAGTGTTTTGCCTGTGTTTATGTATGTGTATAACATGTGTACATTGCCCACAGAGAAAAATTAGAACATGGCATCAGGCTGGACATAGTAGCAAATGCCTTAATCCTAACACTTAGGAGGTAGAGACTGGTGGGTCTCTATACAGCCAGAGCTACATAGTGAGACCCTGTCTCAAAAAACAACACACACACACACACACACACACACACAGAGAGAGAGAGAGAGAGAGAGAGAGAGAGAGAGAGAGAGAGCATCAAGTTCCATAGAACTGGAGTTATAGACAGTTGTGAGCTACCATGCGGGTGCTGGGAACCAAACCAAGAACTCTTAAATGCTAAGCCATTCCAGTCCCTCAGTTCTTCCATATATGAAAATACTTCTCTGTGTCCTTGTCCTCCAAATAACAGATACAAATTACAGGTGAAGTCATTTTGCTTGTATTTTGGGAAATATTATTCATTTATGACTTGCTATGCCGCCCTTGCAAAGAAAAGTATAATTGACAGAAACAATTAGAAAGAAGGAAGGGTTTTATTTTGGCTGATGGTTTCTGAGGCTTCAGTCCAGGGGTGCTGGCATCTGTTTGGGGACCATGGGTAAGGCAGAGAAGGTGTGCAGACAGAGCAGAGGTGCTCATGTGATGACAGCCAGGAAGCAGGAGGCTAAGCATACTCTTCAAAGGCATGGTCCCAGGCAGCCACTCCCCCTAACCAGGCACCACCTACCTCCTCAGTTTCTACCACCCCCAGTAGTGCTACCAGTTGGGGAATAAGTTTTCAATACATGAACCTTCAGGAATGTTCCAGATCCAAACTATAACAAGGATTTTGCTTTCAATGATAACTTTTTTTTAATGTTCAAGATTCCACCCCTGCCCCACCCCACACGGTTCCCTTGTGATGCTTTTCCTGGAGTATGCAATGTCCGTCTTTACCATGTCACAAACATAGGAAGAGTCTGAGATAGTGCAGGAGGTGAAGGCAGCATGTCTGGTAAAGCGCCTCTCCTCAGCCTCCCTACCGCTGCGACCCCTTCTATAGTTCCTCATGTTGTGGTGACCCCAATCATAAAATTATTTTTGTTGCTCCTTCACAACTGTAATTTTGCTACTGTTATGAATTGTAATGTAAATATCTATGTCTCCTTCCTTCCTTCCTTCCTTCCTTATGTATATAGTGTTCTGTGTGCAAGTATCCTTGCAGGCCAGAAGAGGGCACCAGATCTCATTACTGATGGTTATGAGCCACCATGTGTTTGCTGGGAATTGAACTCAGGACCCCCGGAAGAGCAGCCAGTGCTCTTAACCTCTGAGCCATGTCTTCATCCCAATATCTGTGCTTTCTGATGGTCTTAGGCAACCCCTGTGAAAGGATCATTTGACCCCCAGAGGGGTCACAACCCACAGGTTAAGAACCACTGTGGTGTCAGACGGTGGTGACACACACCTTTAATCTCAGCACTCAGAGGAAGGTAGAGATCTCTGAGTTCGAGGCCAGCCTGGTTTACAGAGTGAGTTCCAGGACAGCTAGGGTTATTATACAGTGAAACACTGTCCCGGAAACCCCAAAGAACCGTTGTGGTAAGGGAATAGAACAGCTGCTATCTTCTGGGTGTTAAGTAGATGGACATCATTTGAAGAAGTCTTATTGGGCTGTTACATCTATTAAAGACATTTGCAGCTCACTCCATTGGGGTAAAAAGACGTTCTGCATCCACCAGTTAAAGATACTGAGTCCCTGTTTAGGGGTAATTCCTATTTCAGGGACCAATGGTAGAAAGGTGGTCTGTGGGCAGCACCAAAGTGGCAGAGAAGAGGAAACGGAAAGGCTGATTCTAGATGGACCACTTGTCAGATAGAGCTCAACCCAAGAGCACTACCCTGAGTCTTGAGTCTCTCGCAGGTACCGGGCTTTCAGGGATGATGACGGACACTATTCCCAGACTTACTGGACTCTCCTGGCCATCCGCCTGGCCTTTGTCATCGTCTTTGAGGTATCTGAGACATCTGAAAGTTCTTTCAATGACTCCCATCCCCTTGCTGGCCCCAGTACTTAATATTATGCCCTGACTTGCTTTGCCTAATCTAAGCTACTCCTATGGCGTGGGAAGGGACAGTAAAACCAAATGGACTCCCCTTCTGTTTTCTTGGCCCATCAAAATTCTGTGCATCTTACTTTCCCTTGCTGACCTCTGTCCCTGGCTCATGGGCTAGCAGCCATTGAGTGCTTTGCCGATTGCAAGGTGCTATGGGGAACTCTGAAGGGCCACACACCCTGGTCTGAGGTCTAGGCCTCTGCTCCTCCAGCAGTTCCACTCACCTGGGGAGCCTGCCTCGTCCCCTGAAGGCCAGTGTGGGCGTTTGTTTTACCAAAGGCCGGGGTTGGGGTGGGGCTTCTACCACCAGCACGTGGTGTTCTCTATCGGCCGTCTTCTGGACCTCCTGGTTCCTGATATCCCGGAATCTGTGGAGATCAAGGTGAAGCGGGAATACTACTTAGCTAAGCAGGCCCTGGCTGAGAATGAGGTGAGCATCCAAGCCCTGTCCCCCATGCTCTCTCAGGTCCTATGACTAACCTTAGTTTCCACCTAGTCAGTCCTGACAGCACATCTACAGAGTGGGTGAAGGACCAAGGGGCTTTATTGTCACTTCTATCCTGTAGTCAATCTGACAATTCACTTTCTTCAAAACAGGCTCTCCTTGGAGCAACAGGAGCGAAGGATGACCAGCTTCCAAGCTCAGAGTCTGGGCCTTCCAGCCCAGGGTCTTAGAACTGGTGACCTCTGGGTGGTGGTGGCATGCGCCTTAAATCCTAGCACTTGGGAGGCAAGTGGATGTCTGTGAGTTTGAGACCAGCCTGGAATACAGAGCTAGTTCCAGGGCAGCCAGGGCTGTTACACAGAGAAACCCTGTCTCAGGATGGGGGTAAGGGAAGAACTGGTGACCTCCATCTTTGAGGTCACAGTAGGGGTGACTGGAAGCTGACACACTTGCCTGGAAGACTGCTGAAGATGCGCTAGGGGACAGTTGACGGTGCATGTCCTTGGAGGCCGTGGCCATGCTCCTGTTCCCAGCTCAGCATACCCCCTACCCTTGTTTTACAATAGCCATGACCCATGGCTGCCAGTCTTTGGCTCACACATACGGCTTGATCACCACCCCTACTAGATACTGCTTAAGGCTATCCAAATGGAGCAACAGTGCTCAGAGACATCTGTTGGCCTTCAGGGGGCTATTCCATGAACCAATGGTTTGTCCCCCTGTATCTCGAGGCAGAGGGGTTGTGTGAAACGCTGGCTTCTGTGGCTCTCATTTTTACAATGCTGGCCAATGTACTCAGAGAATCTCTCCTTCTCTTGCCTCATCCATGACTTTCTCTTGTCTCCAACAGGGAGGTCCCCGATTCCTGTCCCCAAACCAAAGGCTAAGGATCCTCTGTGTGCATTCCTGAAACTTAGTGACCAGGAGGTTGCTTTACTGTTGACACATCCTCCTGCTCCACCCCACCCCCAGGCAGAACTCTTCTGTCAACTGAGCAGGTTAGACCCTGGGGTCCCTGCCTCCTCAGGGATCTACTCAGTTCTTTTGCAGCATTCCTTGTGATAGCGTAGGGTCAGATCACCCCTCCAGACCCACCCCTTGCCTCTCCTCACATGGTCAGTACATGTCTGCTCATCTGGCTCTTAGACCTGATACCACATCCCAGGCCGCGGTAGGAAGCCCACCTCTGCCCCTCCTTTCATACCTAATCCCCAGGGTCTCTGGGTTCTCTCTGTATCTTGGCCTCTCTATCCCGATAGATCAAGGGCCTCCACAGCATCCCCGCTGTGTCCTGTACCTTCCAGTGCTAGGCCAGGGACTCAGCACACAGCCAGCCCAGAAAGGGGAAGGCTGTGGAATGAAGCCTAACCCCTTATAGTGGAAACAAAACCAAACCAAAAACCAGAAAGCAGATTTCTGACAACTAGTGGGCCTTTCCCATTACCCTCCATTCTGTTCACATACAATTACTTTTCAAATTGGGTGCCACTTGAGCCTTTTCCTGATGCTTGCCTTCTGTTAGCTGGGTTAACTGGTAGTTAATTGCCACTGATTTCCTACTGCTGCCCACTCATGATGGGATATGGGCCTTTGCTCCTCTTCTGACATTCATCCATGCTGGAATAAAGGTCTGAAAGTCACTACTGATCTGGGCTTATTTCTGTAGGGTTGTTAGGACTGGTGACAAGAAGGATGTGCAGTTTTGGAAGGGTTGTGAAGCATTCATGTTTCCTTTGAAAGCCTTTTTCCAAACCATGCTCTCACTCACCCACCCATTGCCTAACTTTGGCAACTCCCGGCCTCAGATGTGGCTCTGTGCTTACTCTGGCATCAGGCATGGGATGAGGCTGCCCACTGAAGCTTGCATGGCTGCTGGACAACCTAGCCAGTTCAATGAACACACTTGCTAGGTAAAGCCTTACTACACAAACCACAAATACTTTCTTCAGGCTGTTTTAGCTGTTACAATCTTTAAAATCTACTACTGTGCAGATGGGTTACGTGGGTAAATGAGGGATGTGAGCCACGGCTGGTACGCACAAGTCAGGAACAACGTTGTGGAGCCAGTTCTTCCACTGTGGGCTCCAGGGAATGAAGGACGGTCAGGCTCGTGCAGGGGGGTGGTGTGAATGAGAAATGCCACCCCCTGTACCAGGCTTTGGCAGTTAATACTCCATCCCCATCTGGTGATACTATTCGGGGATGTTTAGGTGACAGCCTTGCTGCAGGGAATTTTAAGGAGAGGGCTATGAGAAAAAGCGTGCCATTCCAGTTGGTGCTCTCTGCTTCATATTTATGGGCCGAGATGTGAGCTTTTGTCTCCTGCTATTATGCTGTCTCCACTGTACAGACTTGAACACTCTGGAATCATAAGCCGAAATAACTTTCTTCTGAAAGTTGCCTTGTTTTATGTGACAGAAAAGTAATGCATGCAGCAAGCACTTTTTACCTGCTAGGCCATTTCACTGGCTCTATGTTGACCTTAACAGAAGAGAATGCTTGCTTTTACCTAAGGAATTTCATGTAAACACAATGCTGAAACCAATGCAGGGTGGCCCACACTTAGACATGCCTTACCCATCCATGACAGCTAAGCCAGGAGTGAGCCATGGATTCTCAGTGATTTCCACTGCACACCAGGGTCTTATACTATAGGAGGCACATATTGGCTGCTGGGACATGAGTTCTGCAGGTGTGCTCACTCAGGATGCATATCCTGGGAAGGAGACGCTGGGTTACCAGTCTCCTCAGCAAGATGCGCTCTGCTAGTCCTAGCTCCTTTAGCCAGTTTAATGGGATCTCATGGGGACTGAAGTAGCTTTTGCTACTTCTACCCTTGCTCTGCCTCCACACCCTGCCCCCTCTTCTCAGCTCCCACTGCCCACAGGCAGTGAAATCCCCAGACCCAACCTCCTCAGCCTGGGAGCCTGTCAGGAACATCAACAGAAAACCGGAGATGTTGTTGCTTTTGTAAAGACCATGCCACTATCCAAGCAGAGCTGTCTCTGTTAACAGCTCTGGGGCAGCCGCTGACTGGGATGAGAGGCCAGGTCAAGGCGCAGGAGCAGGAGCAGGAGCAGGCGAGACTTCCTCATGGAGACGCCACTCCACAGCCCACTGGAAGGGACAGGAGGAACAGTGCTAAGAATTGCTAGAGAGCCACAACATGGATTAGGGAAGTATTCAGGGCCACTGTTACCACTTAGTCACAAGGAGAGAATATATACTTCATAAAATGAGTCTCATCACACTCATCTGGTTTCGGGTTTTATTTTAGAATTTATAAAATTCCAGTGTCATCCATATTCATGAGCCTTTACACATGTTTGCATATAATCTCCAAATTCCAAAGTTAAGGCCAAGGGATGGATGTAGCTATGGAAACATAGGACATGGAAGACATTCAACAAGGAGGAAAGGACACTCCCCATCCCTGCCTAGACCCCTCAACAGTGTGGAGGCTGCAGGGAGGTGACTTGGGCACAGTCAATTTCATAGTCCTTATTAACAATCAGAGAAAAGGAGTGAGGCCCTCAACAGTATAGGGTAGGGTTTACAGCTACAGCACTTAGCAATAAATGGGGATGTGCAAATCCTGTGGTGATAATTTAAACTTTACCTTCCGGGGAAGGAAGAGACTGGATGTTGTAGGATGACCATGAAGAAAGATGAGGAGGGCAGGAGGAAGCAAGGGGTCCCCAGTCTCATGCAGACGGGAGAAGAGAAGCCTTCTCCCTGGCTCAAGCTGCCAGCCTACTGAGCAAAGTAGATGTTCTCTCCCACCTCAGTACCATTCCTCTAAATGGGTACACGTGGGACTGCTTCATCTACAGGGAACTGAAGTTAGACTTGAGAAGCAATTCTGGATCCACTTAGGAGTTAGAGTCTACAGGGAGCCAAGCCTGAGTTATTAACTGGAGAGTGAAGACTTGGGGGAAGGTGTCACTGTAGAAGTGACAGTTCCCAGGGAAGGCCATGAGATGGGCACAGGTTGGCTTTTCTAGGAACCCAAGTATCTGGGACAGGACATGTTACTAGTTGATCAGATGACCTGGAAATAAAAGACCTGTTCCCAGTCTCCACAACACAAGAGGGACACTTCTGCTCAGATCACTTTTCCTGGTGAGGGCTGGCCTGAAGCCCTGCTAGCTGGGGCCAGTGGTCCAAGTTACTTCCCTGCACCCGAGAGAAGGCCTCCCTCAGCTGGCAGTGCTCCCTGCACTGAGTCCCTTGCTTTCACTCTGCCTTCCCTTCTAATGCATGCTAATCGATACCCTCTAGTGATGACACCTCAGGAAGCTGCCCGGTCAGGCTGGCTGGGAATAAATGAGCAGCCTGCTCTGGACCAGCCCCTGGACCACGTGGCCTGTGGAGAAGCACTAGCTTTCACCCTCCTCAACTCAATGGCAAGCCCAGAATCACCACAAACGTCTAAATCAAGAGAAGAGCTCGAGGGGCGGCACTAACCCACGCATGAGAGTACTACCACACTGGCTGAGGTAGAAAGAAGGCAACTGAACACGAGGTGTCTGGGCGAGGCAAAGAGGCCAAGGTTGTGGGAAAGCTGAGCTGTCACTTAGGGTCAAGCCCCTTCCCCCACCAAAGAGAAGCCAGTCTCTACCTTCCCTTGCCCCCAAAGTCTCAAGTCCACTGTGACAGCCACAGGGAACCCAGGTGGCACACACACAGCCGTGCCTCTAAGGGTACATATATATACCAGCTCATGAGGCTGGAGCTGCAGTAGAAGCCCCTGATGCTTTCAGAACCCAAAGTGGGTGTCATCACTACTGACTGAGGACCCAGGCCACCCTCTACCCCTGGGCCCACTCTATCACCAGGACATCTGACCTCTTGCTGTCCAAAACCATGCCTTCCTCCTATCCTGTAGCCTGTGCTAAGCAGATTTTGACAGCTAAAGGAAGCTGACTGCTTTCCACAAAGAGGAAGGTCTGGGCGACAGGTGGCGGGCAGGAGGGAGGTGGGAAAGGAAGAGGGCAAACGTTTTGGCTTTTATAAAGTCAAGGAAATTTATTTCCTGAGGTCATGACACAGGAAGTCAGCTCCTAGCCGCTGTGGAGCTCTGGTGTGAAGGTCAGAGTGCTGACTACATGCTGGGTGGACCAGAAGCTGGAGTCTGTGATCACGAAATGCTCAAATACCTTGCTTAGTGTTTCACACAGTGGCGTGCCTGTCCCAGAGCACAGCATCAGGAGCAGACCCTGAGCCTGCTGGGCGCTGACCAGGCCTGGAGGATCAGCCACACAAGGCCAGCCCACCAGGCTTGCTGCGAGACCTCGGGGAGGGGGAGAGCATCAACAATTTACGAGGGTCCAGCTGCTGGGTCAGATTGAGACAAACCATTGTGTGGTTGGGTTTGGGCAGCAGGCTGGAAAGGTTTCTTTTTGATCATTATCGTTTGGGGCCCCAAGGGAGGGTCTTGGGAGCCACCTGAGCCCCAAAACTGGGAAATTCTTCAGAGCTGCTCATATCAGGAGCCTGTGGGGAAGGAAGACACAACTTTAGTACCAGGTGGCTCTCATTTACTGATAGTCTCTCCAAAGTAACTCCACCCACACCCCACTCTCCCACCAGCTTGGCCCATAGGGAACAAGCAGCACACAGTGCCATCTGACCTTCTCACTGCTGTTGGAGGTCCAGGGAGCATCTCGCACCACAAAGCCTTTGGATGGTGCCTTGGATTCTTCATGTGCCGGGGGCTTCATGTAAACCTGCAGCGCCTCACTGTCCACCACATCAGCCAGCTGCATGGCACAGGGAGATGGTGCTGGTCAGCCTACAGCCAGCCAGCTGAGCCCTCTGACAGCTACACCACCGGGCCACTGGCCCACCCACTTGCCCCTGCCTGTGGAAGCATGTGAGTGACTTGGTTGTCACTTGAGGATTATGGCCAGGCCTCCAGCTAGCCAAGGGACAGGGTGTCTCAGAGCTCAGCCTGGGCTGGTTTGAGGCCCCCAGTGACCCTAACCATCAGGACTCACATATTCCTCCTCTAGGTTGAGGATGTGGTCGATAGCTTCCTCCACATTCTCTGGGAGTCCTGTCACAGTGACACAATTGGGGTCTGGAGCTCCAGTCTGTGGGAAGCGAATGTCCACCTGAAAGAAGCAGTGTCAAATGACAGCATTAAAGGGAGAACTCTAGACCAGAGTCCACCACCACACTTGTATTTTTAGTTAGGGAGGGATTTCCCACTGAATTCAGGAACATTTAAAGTTTGGTTTTAGGGTTCTTCACTTGAGGAAGCCACTTGCATCATCCTGCCAGGACTACCTGGTTTCCTGAAGACAAAGGGTCCCGAGTGTGTGTGATGCAGAAGGACAGCATAGCAAATAGCCTGATGGCTCTGCCCTTCTAGGGGCCTTTCTGTGAGCCCTCGCTGTCTGTACTCACCAGTGACGTCAGAGTGCAACACTGTCCTACAGTGTGTCCTAATATTCAACCCCTCCTGGCTCCCCGTGATCAGCAGCATAGGTAGGAGCCTGCAGGTTTCCAGTGCCCCGGAAGGATGGGAGCTCTCATTCTTATGCTCAAGTTAACTTTGGACTCACCTTAAACTCATCCATGATTTTACGGATGGCTTTGCCTCGGGCACCAATGATG